TATAAGAACACACCAGTCATGATGATTACTGCATTTTTTAAAATGAATTTGCACAATATCGTAACATTTCGAGCTTTCGGCCGCCATTTTTGATGCCGCCATCATGAATTTTGAAATGAGTATGTGCACATTTTAAAGTTTAAAGTTCATGGACGCTGTATTTTGACTCCTCAAGACCATCCTAATGTTGTTTCAATGTGAAAATATCGCTTAAAAAAAATTTGAGTGAAAAATCACGGTTTTTTCCAAAAATCGACTATAACTTTTTTGGACTTTATTTATGACAAATTCTGATGGCAGATTCTGAAAGAACAAGAAATTTTACATCAGAAATGATGTTACTAGAATTTTTTCAAGGCCATTAAAATAAAACATTAAGCCACTGAAAATTGTTCAAAAAATGTGTCCGCCTGGACGTTAATGGGTTAACAAGATAAAGAAACGGAGGCAACACTTTGCGTAGTAATAAACTATGCATTCTACTAACTGATGTATTGTTATCTAAGAGTTATTTTTTTATTTTATTTATTTATTAATATTCGGATAATTTTATTTTATCATTTTGAAATAATTCTATTTATTTATTATTATTCAAAAGAAGAAGAAGAAGAAATTACTATTCAGAAATTACTACTACTCAGATAATATTATTAATTATATATTGATAATGCTCTTATAGTGTACACTTGCTTCAATCCTATCGCAATGTTTCTATTTCTCATAAACGTAACTGTTCTTGACTAGCTCAATATGGACGCAATATACAGAGCACCAATGAATCACTCTCGAAAGTCGCATTATTTTCGCAGACACAAGTAACGGACAGAGAAGAATAAAAATGTTAACAAACTCTAACGAAATAGTGTACTCTTTCATAGGCAACTTTTTTGTTAGCAAAGGCGCGTTAATATTGTGCGTTATGTGTTATGGCTCTAAAGCCATATAATCATATTGGCAATTGAGATTCAAATTTGATTATAAATCAGAAAAAAAACTAATATCAAGTTTATATAACATCAAAATAAATTTCGCTTTGATTTGTCAAATCTTAATTCAATCTCAATCTTAAGCGCTATAGTGTGTTTATGGCTTTAAGTCCGGTCCACAATTGCAAGCGTAGTTGTAAGTGAATTATATAATTTCAAAAATTGACCAATATATCACAATCAAATATAAAAAGAATATTTGATTATAATTGATCAGTTCTTACATATTGTTTAATACAGAAATGCAATTATTGCGACTCGGGCAGGTCACGTTTTTTCTTCATTATAATCCAGTTTATCACTTTTCCATTATTTAAATTTGTGAATGTTTTTCACAAATAAGCTTTTTTGAGGTCTTCTTTAACTAATGAGGCTAGTTTAATAACTTGGCTTTTTTTAATAACTTGATATATATATAATTTTATTGATTTCACGACTATTTTTGATTAATCAATTTTTAAATAATTGTATATTTAAATTATAAAGAAAATTGAGATCGGAAGAG